ACCTTGCACTTGGCCTTGTTAAATACTTGTACATACACGCAGTGCACTAACTCACACGATCATCTTTAACTGAATTTGTAAAACCATGCTGCTTGGAAATCTCTCTCCATATATATGTGTATAGGCAAAACTCTACGTGGTCAGGCATCATGGGGTTTTTCAGCTGTCTCCACTAGTTTTCATGACAGCAAGAATGTTGTATTTAGGCCCTGGTAACCTTAGAGAGCTTATTCTATTTGGGAGTTTGCACAGAACTGCCAAGGATGAACAGCGGGCTCAAAAGACCACCAGACTGTTAAAGAATTTCCATGTTTTGTGTGACATGGAAAGCAGCGTTTCTTACTCACAGCTGACCCCTGCTTCACTGTGCAGTTTGAGTGGTCAGAGACACACGTCCCGTCAGAAGTTGTATCTTAGTGCGTTCCCACACCAGCAGTACTGCTTTTGGGAAACCCTCTCCAATGTCTGTGCAGTGAATTGCTCCTACTGACGCTTACAGCACTGGACCTGAGGCTTTGTACCTGCAACCAGACGTTGTCTGCAGAGTTTGCGTATTTTGTAATTGAAGTTCATGCATTTTATAATAGAAGCAAACTTTTCAGTTTGGTGTCGTGACAGCTAGAGTAAAACCTTACATGTTCGTTGCCTTTCTACTAGGGACCACAAGGGCCTCAAGGACCTGTTGGATTCCCTGGACCAAAGGGACCTCCAGTGAGTAGCTTTTTCATTAAGTATGCGCAACAACAGGCATGTTATTTTTCATACAGTGTTTCTGAAGTTAATATTTGCGGATTTATTAAGGGTTGGGTTAGGTATAGATTACAGATACACTGTTCAGCTTTAAGGCTAAGACAAGAACTAACGTATTCAAATGACCCCTGGTGCAGCTCATGTGATACTCAGCCAAACCTTCCAGTGTGTTGGTTCCAGTGTCTGGGTGACAGGCTGAGTTTAGGCAAAATATTACTTTGCTGGTGTATATTTTTTTCTAACAATCAATTTGTTGAGGAAAAAAGAAGAGGAAGTAGATGTTCACTAGCAGCAGAAATGTGTAGAAGCAATAGCATGTTTGAGCTGCGGCCTGATCTGCTCTTCTACTGTCTGGCTCCTCATGTGAAGTACAAAAGCATCAAACCACCTCTGATTTTTTTCACCCAGGCATTTGTTACACAGCCAAAACCTGAAACCCCACCAAATACTCCTCTAATGCTTGGTTTTGTGTTAACTGGGTTGTTCAGCAACGAAAAATGGACAGGAAGTGTAGGGACTCTCCATGATTTCTGAGTTTACAGAAATGCACCTTGAACGTGTGTGCACTTGACTCCCTGAGAGTCACCCGCCAAGCGGTTGCTCACACACCTGAGGGAGGACACCAGGAAAGTGTTACCGAAGCTGCAGCGAGCTGATGTAGGAGCGGTTAAGCTGTACTGATGACTAATCTAGGAAAATCAGAGAGATCAGAGGTTCTTACGGCTCATTGCACACTTTTTCTCAGAAGAAGTGTTCTCTTTCTGGCTAAGAAATGCTTTGATCTATGTGTTTTACCATTTCAGGGGCCACCTGGAAAAGACGGCTTGCCTGGGCACCCAGGCCAGCGGGGTGAGACGGTGAGTAAGATGGGACTGAGGTTATGTCGCTGTAGTTTTCTTATGGTTGGTAGTTAGGCATGAGAAAGCTTTATTTTGTTTCCATGTGGCAGCAGTGAGGTTATTCTTCGCTGTGCCCAGTTAGTAACATCGCAGTGAGCCTGAACAGTTAATACAAGTAAAATAAATTAATACTCAGATCTTAATTTAATAAAAATTTTCCAGGTAATTACTATATATGGTTCTTTTCTCACTCATAACATAAAAAAAAGTCTTATTAATGGTAACAGATAGGAACATCAAAAGCCAACACCTTTGGCAAGTAGGATCAGAAATGATTCAACCTGTGAAAAAAAATGTTAAATTTTGAAGCTGTATCCTATGGAACCCCACTGAGAATCCCACTGAGTAACTTCTGGCAGCAGAATGAAAAAGTTAACATGTAACAGTTTGAATGGAATTACTTAAAAAAAACTCCCTATGTCTGTAGTGCTGACACCTTATTCACATCCACCAAAATAAGGTAACGCTCGCTCAGATTTTTTCAGAGCTGGAGAAACCCGTAAATGAATTTAGAGAGAAATTTTCTCAGCACGTAGAGTGTGTTTTGGGTCCCAGCTGGAAATCAGTGACTGCAGAGTCACTTCCACTACCAGAAGGGGAAGCCCAGTTTAGAGTAGCACACCCTCCTGACAAACTGCGTTCCCTTCTGCTGGTGGTGTAGCACGGTGACGCTGTGCAGTGACAGCGGCTTCTTCTGTGTGAGAGAAACGTCATGACTTCCTTGCTCTTTTTGTTTGTGATGAGGCAAAGACTAGTCTTTTGTGCCACGAGAATGCATCTTAATTGCTGTTTGGAATGCAGGAAGTTCAAAATAGTTCTGTAGTCTGATAAGAAAAAGTACAGTTACTATTTTCCCTTTATTTTGGATTTGAACACGAGCCAGTAACGTGCCATTCTGGGAAGGGACGCTGATGGCAGGCTGGGCTGCAGGAGGGTGATCTCTCCCTCTGTTCAGCTGCTGGGGACCCTCCTCAGCAGGGAGAGCAAGAGACCAGAAAAGGCCACTAAGGTGACTGGAGGACATGGAGCATCTCTCCCATGAGTACAGAACTAAAGCTGGGGCTGCTCAGTCTGGAGAAGGGAAAGCCAGGTCTAATCTCATCCAAGGATATTGGAGAAGAGAAGATGCAAGTCAAATCTCATCCAAGGATATAAATACCTGCAGGGGTGTGTGCAGAAGATGGAGCTAGGCTCTTTCTGGTGGTGCCTGCTGGCAGGACCAGAGTCCATGGGCAAACACCTTTTCACTGTGAGGGTGACCAAGCACTGAACAGATTTCCCAGAGAGGCTGCAGAGTCTCCACCCTTGGAGACATTGAAAAGCCACCTGGACATACTCCTGGGCAGCCATGGTCATGTGGCTGGCAGCAAGAGAGAAGAGATGGAGGAAGGTAAAAAACGCTTAAACTGGATCGGATGGAACGGGGGAGCTGCTGGTGAGACGGAGCCCCACAAGATGCTAAGCAGGGCCCAGCATTTATGAGAAATACACCCAGATGACACTTGGTTTTCCCACAGTCATTTGTAGTGATTTAGTCATTACTGGCTGGGATTAAACCACGGCAGTTAAACAGTGCTACTATAGGTGAGGTTGACATTCAGCTTCTTGACTAATTTCGGGTGGAAGTCTGGGGCCGCTGATTAGAAACTGAATATTCTGTAAAACTTACCAGTGTTCTGAAAAACTGTTCCAAAACCATACCCTTTCTATTCTCTGCTTCTCAGTTTCTGTCATTGTATCAATTTCCTATTAGCACCATCCTTTTTCTGGCACTCATGCTGTCTTTTTTACCATCTTCCATATAACGTTCATCTTCCCTCAACCTCTATTTCTATTCATTTGCTGTCTAACCTCCCCTTTTCGTTAATGCTCCTCCAGCTTAACCCACCACCTCTGTCGTTCTTTAAACAGCATTTGTATGTCTGGCTTCATGATTCATGGTCGATACGTGCAAAAATGGATTTTCAGCTGTCTTTCAGCTGCAACACTTCAGCGTCCTGACTCCCCTAATCAAGATCTATAACATTGACCGCAATTTTTCCTGCTGTACCACCTCAGAGAGACTGGAACTCATAGAGATAAGAAAGATTGATCAGTATTTCACTTCTAAGTGTACACAGCAAAAAGAATCACTCATTTTATTTCCTGAAGAGGAGGAACGTGTGACACGGAATTCCTCTTTCTCCTCCTCAGCACAGATATGAATTTTGCTCTTCTCTGTCTTGTCCTCAGTAACATAATAGTCTGTAATTATTTTACAGGGTTTTCAAGGAAAAACTGGTCCTCCTGGTCCTGGTGGTGTTGTTGGCCCTCAGGTACAGAATTTAATTTTTACAGTTAATGCTGTAAGTCCAATGTTTAATGGTGATATTATGGCTAAGGCAGGGGCTTTTGTTGTATTCAAAGGACCATATTGATGGTTATATTAACTTCTGTAACAAATTAATGCCTGACAATCATAGAGAGGTGTACTTAGTAGTCATTAGTGATCCCACGCAAAATGCAGATGTCGGGGGTTACCTTTCTGCTTCTTTTTTTGTGTATTCTCTTCACGTCATTATGGAGCTGGTGGTTTACAGAAGTCAAGAAGGCAGAGTTGTCTGCCATGAAATAGTTTAGAAAGAACAATACAACATGTGACTTTCTTGTCAGAGGCCGAATTTCAGTCGCTTTTACATTGTGGAGAGATTCACTATCAAACTTCCATTGGATCTAATCTTACATGTTTGCAACAAAATCAAGAATTTGGATTCTCTGGAAGTTGTATGGATGTATCTGCAGGCAGAGTGCGATGCAAGGCTTATTTCCTAGGACGAAGATATTTTATAAGTAGCTTTGCCTGGAGGGAAGGGCAGGTATGGAAGCTAACCAACGGTAATACAGACTCAGATCTGCTGGATATGGAGAATCTTCTCCCCACCACCACATCCCCCAGGACATTAAATAGCTTGAGGTGACTGAAGTTTACTTGTGTGCTTAGGGTCCTACTGGTGAGACTGGCCCAATCGGTGAAAGAGGCCATCCAGGTCCTCCTGGCCCACCCGGTGAACAAGGCCTCCCCGGAGCAGCGGGAAAAGAAGGTGCTAAGGTATGGTGTGGCGCTGGGGGTCAAATGGGAAGGAATTTTAGAGCTGTGTCTGTTTCCATTGCTTGAGCCAATAACTGACATTTTTGTAACCAAACCCTAAAACCTAGTTCACACATACCCACACGTTCACTCTGCAGAGACCTAGTAATGACATGTGTGCACCAAGGTCGAATACTGTACCTTGGCATTACAGCCGGATGTGCAGGGCTGGCTACGAGGCAGAACTGCACTGACCAAATTAGCTCTTGGCTTATTTTTTGGCCACCATTGGGGCACCAGAAAATTACTGCTTATCTAGGTACTGTGTAACTCTACGCGATCTTCCATTTTAAATGGGCATTGTAAATTTTTAATGAATGTATCTTTAAACATGTTTTTATGGCTTGCTGTGTTTTTCACTATTAATATTCTATAATTAATACTGTATTTTGTCAAATCTTGTTATAAATTTAACTGTATCGATAGACTACTGTACTGAAAATCGTAGAGGGATTAGTGGGTGAATAGGAAAGGGCATCATCTTTCCTCTCATTACTGTAACTAGGCTGTGGTATTTCATTTTCATCGCTCATTTAATGACTAACGTAAGCATTGTAAAGTTTTTTTTTTTGTTTTTTAACCAAAATGTAATATGTTTCCAAGGGTGACCCAGGCCCTCAAGGCATTCCT